TGTAGCCTGGCAGCAAATGCCGGGTTTTAGCAGCTTGGTCGATTAACAACTAGCGGGAGTCGCAGAGGATCTTAGAGATCTAGGTGACAATAGGATCTCACAAGCCCCCCGCTCTTCGTCATCTAATCTAATCTAATCTAAGGGTAGCAAAAGCCATATTTTTGATAAATTTCGAAACTCTGTGCTAATTATTACAAAGATTATTAACAAGTGAAAAAACACTTATTTTTGGGTGTTTTTTGCAATTATCTCGATAAATAATTGCTCGATTTATTCGATTGATAGCTTAAACGAAAGATATTTTTAATACCTACAACTTTTATTTAGAACTTTTTTCCCTAACTAGCAGTTCTTCTTTGATAAAAGCAAAAAACCCATTTTCAGCACTTTCAATCATCATTTATAACAAGTGCTGACAAAGAATTTTGGTTGCACGACTATAGGGGTTTATCAGTAAAGCGCACACTACAAGGTAATGTAATCGGATTTTGGTTAAACATTTTTGCACAAAAAGTTGCTTTTTTTCCCTATTGACTGGACTATTATTCCGTTGACAAGGAAGGTGCACACGAGTGCGCACTCGTTATTTCCTGTCATTCTCAAGAGTACGAGAAAAATGCTCACAAGTGCACACTCGTCACTTCCTGTTATTCCGTTTTGACGAGGAAGGTGCACACAAGTGCACACTCGTCACTTCCTGTTGTTCCGTTGACGAGGACGGTGCACACAAGTGCACACTCGTTATTTCCTGTCATTCTCAAGAGTGCGAGGAAAGTGCACACGAGTTCACACTCGTCACTTCCTGTCGTTCCGGTGACGAGGAAAGTGCACACGAGTGCACACTCGTCACTTCCTGTCGTTCCGTTGACGAGGAAGGTGCACACGAATGCACACTCGTCATTTCCTGTCATTCCTAAGAGAGAGTATGAGGAAGGTGCACACAAGTGCACACTCGTCACGTCTTGATCCTGGGTACTACAGTGAGAACGGTGCTATAAAAATTGCACGCTTATTCGTCGTATCTATTCAGAGGCTTCCCGTCAGTCAGAGGCCTCGCCTCCGCGACGAAGGCGGCGGACCGGACGTGGAGGCAGGAAGCACCAACTGAGGGCCCTTCAAAGAGCCTACGCGCGCACCGAATCTTTTGACCTCGCGGTGCTTGAAACTACCCGCGTGACTGATACGGAAGAACGCGCCGCATATTTTCACACGACAAGTACAGTGGAACGCGCCGTTAACCGGGTCCTGCAAATTATTAGTAACAAAGGGTTCACGGGGCGAATTTCGATCATTCGACCCTCGTAGAGGTTGATCCCGGTTACCCGCGGTAGAATTGTTTACCCGGCTGCGGTCCTCCCGACGGATCCACGGTTCCGGNTGTACATGGAAAANCGACGCAANGTGGTGTACCTCACTCAAAGATCCTCTCACAAGCATCGGTTTAGCTGGGCTCCGTCAACAAAAATCTCGTGCAGAAAACAGTAACCAGCGTCACACATGCAGCACACATAGACCCACCTATGTGCATCGGACGGTCGGCACCGCCCGGTGAACCCGGCGAGTATATCGAGTTGACGGAGGCGTTCGATTTTTGGCAGAAGTACAACCTTGGCCGATGCCGGTTGGTGGTACTGGCTTATCTTCACCTGTTAGACAACAAGATCTACTGTACGTGGTGTACCCACAAGACGGACGACGTCCTGATACCCGAGGCCGTGATAAGCCACAGTATCTCGATTGGAACCCAGCTCACGGATGTGTTGTGCGCCAGATGCTCGCAGAATTTAACGATATATTGACCGGTAGAAGAGTGCAAGAAGTGCCACTTTGCCTACATTGATTTCATCGCAGAACACACCGACGATTTTTATACGCTCCAGGACCACACGGTATACATAATTGACGGCCCTTTGATTTAATCCGGAACAAAAAACCCTACCCCAGCTCCCGGTCATATCTTCATCCTCCGCCCCGGTAA